TTTTGCTTTTCCTTGTGTTTAGTGGTTTAATTTTAGCCACTCTCCACATTCTAGAAGGGCATGAAGCACCACTTAGCTACTTTAATGCAGCATCAGTAAAATAGTAAGGTATTTAAATCTCAATTGTATATATATTTAAAGGAGCAAATAAGCAAATGACTTGAGTAAATATTTTCCTTTAAAATGTTTTGGATGTTAGTCCCTATTACTGTTGTTATCCCAACAGTTCCTGTCTTCCATACACAGGTAGAATTACAATTCTTTTCTCTTCTAATATTCCTATTCCTTTCTTTCCTAATGTTGTATTCTTATTAAAGTGGGAAGAACAGACTGTATATGAGACAACCTTTAAGAAAAAGATGCTGTATAAAAATCTCCTTACTGAAGTTTTGTTCATAGCAAAAACCCTCCTCAGCTAATTTCACTGACTTCTTAGTGTAACAGTAACATTAAAATAAATTATATACATTGTGATCCTTTGTACTTATCAGCTTTCAGGGGTTGGAAAAATGTGATTTAAACATTTTTTTTTTTTTTTGCCCAGATTGAGTGTAAATTGATCCTGTGGAAGAGAACAATTTCCAGTGTACTCTGCTGGTGTGCCCTGCTTCCTGTTTTCTACTCCAAGTTTTTTTGGGTTTTTGTTATTTGTGGTGGGGCAGAGGGTTGTTCTTTTGACTTCTTACTACACTATTAATACATGAATAAGGTTTTGCCAGAGAGAGAATGGTGGTTTGCTGCTACTTCAAATGTATAAAAAAGCTTCATTTCTTCCTCTACAGCCCCAAGACCAATTTAATCAAAACTTTAAACTGTTGTACTATGCTTTTTTTCAGTTGCCCCTGTATTTTAATGGACTGTGATAAAAGTTGGGTTATATATGTTACAGCTTGGAAATCCAGAGAATTGTGTGTTTCTTATGTATGTGAGTTTGTCTTGGGTTCGTATGGTCTTGGGTCACTTATTCTCTGCAGTTTATTATTTTTACCCACCCATTGCCTTCATTAGTCTGTCTCTCTGCCAATATTTTGATTATAATGTAAAACTTTCATGTGATCTTACAAAAACAGAAACAAACAAAAAACCCCATAATCTTCAAACTCAGCCGGATTTATATAGACTGCTTAAAGAAGCTGAGCTTATTATATTACAGTTTTATATTACTTTTACAAAAAGTTTCATCTCCTGCTTTTAAGAGTAGTGGCTTGCTTTTTTGATATTTATTCCAGAGCTCTTTATTTTGGTGAAAATGGAGTCTATATCACAAAATAATGTTAGGGATAGGCATAACTGTTATCTTGGTCTTTTCCTAAAGATCAACAGCCATCAGAAGAGATGTCACTTGTACTGTGGGGGGAAGGGTTTGGTGGTGATCAAAGTACCCAGTCTGTAGATTTGATTTTCTTCAATTTCTGTGCTTTTAAACCATAATATTCTATAGTATATCACTTCTACAGTTTTACTCAGAATTGTAATGGCCTTTATTATTGAATATTACACAGTTGCATATCAGTGGGTACATCTACCCATGCAATTAATGTGATACAATAAACTCCATAGCTGCTTGAATGCCCAGGACAGCAGCAATTTGACCCAAGGTACAGCAGGCCTGGGCTGGCAGGAAGTATGGGGGTCAGAGGGGCTGGCCCCCCACACTGGCTAGGCTGACCACAGGCACAACTGTTCAAAATTGCATTTTGTTGCACTTAATTATTCTGCCGTAAGATAGTACTGTCCCCAACAGTACTATCTTATGGCCAAATGAATTAGTTTACTGCACCCTAATACTGATGCACATGTTGACTGTGTTACTTTACTACTGCCCTAATTAGTCTACTCTGCAGTAAAGTGCATGTGTAGATGCATCCAGTGCCTGTGTCCAGATGCACATAGCTGGAGGTGCATCAGCAACTCTGCTGGCCCCAGGAGCCTTATCTAGGATCCTGGGGGCCTCAGGGAGCTGCAGTTGCAGAGCTCCTGCAGCTAGGAGCTTGGCTGGCAGCCCAGCCTCCAGTTTCGGGCAGCATGCACTGCCGCCATATGCACTGCTCCGCTTTTTCTTGGCATGGGTTCATTTGACCCTGGAATCTCCCAGTGTCAATATCCTCCCCCCACCCCCACCCCCCCCAATGCTGCAAGGTAGCAGTGTGGGGCACACCTGTATGTGCAGTGTGTGGCATCGCAGATAGGTCTACAATGCCACTTATCCCATATCTGCACTCGTCTGGACATGGCCAGCAAGTCTCTCCAAGTGTCGTCTTGTAAGATTAATTTTTTGGAAATGCAGTTCAGTAAAAGATGCCTAGTGTATTGGCTGCCAGTCAGTGTTCTGCAGGGAATT